GTGATTTATTTATGATCCTATAAATAAAATGATAAAAACAATATTATATATATATTATACGGAGTATATATTTTTGATGCTGTCCGTATCGTTCCTCTAATTGTGCTCCCTAAATCCACATACATTCTATTCTTAAAAATTGGTTGGGCCAAAAACGTGCAGTCCTTGGGCCTAAAAAAGACCAATAGGATCAAAACACAGAATGTTGATTTTGATTTCTGGAACCAAGTTAGGAAAGATAATGTCCAACACTCGGAACAGTTTTGCAACTTTTACCTGTGGAAAAAGTTACACTTGTTTATTGAAATTTAAGATTGACCATCTTCACATACCCCAATCCATCTATATCACAAGATTGAATATCTCCAGCAACAGTTTTAGATTGTCCATCATCAACACTCAAATTTTCAGCTTTTTGGAAGGTGCAGAAATAGATCCTCAATTACTGGACCGACTGGTATAACCTCTTCTCCTTCAAAGGAAGAGATGAGGGGTTCGAACCCCATAGTGTACATTTGGGTGGGTGGCACAGCTACTGCTTTCAAAGAGTAGCATTTCACATGAACCGTATTTGCTTTCACCCTCTCTTGCCCATTCAACATAACCAAGTCACACCCAGAAAAACATAACAAGCCGGACCCCTTCATAGTAAGGACTCCGAATCTCTTTCAATCAGAAGGCAGGGTCAGGAAAGCCCAGTTGAAATTGGCAAAATAATGGAGGCCTTTATCATACATTTAGGCATAGCTAGAAATCTTGGCTATAAACAAATTGTACTTTCAATATTGGCGATATGTTCCTAGCTGAATGCTTTAGCAATGAGCTTGTATTGCTTGTTTTTCTGTAGTTGAACATGTGCTAGCAGTTGACTGAATCTCATTGACAAGTTTATGTGAGATATATATTTTGGGAAAATTGTAAAAAATATATATTCTGGAATTGGTCGATGTCAAAAAAAGTCCTAGTCGAGTTATAAATTCAAGTTACTATATTGGGATCGACAGCGATTGCGGAATTGGAAGGTTGTTCAAAGTTACCATGAATGAAAAAGATAAAAACAACACTTTAGGAATGAATCTAAAAAGGTTAGGACACATTTCATACTTAGTATAGTTTCAAAAATTTGACTTGTGAAACCCGGCTGACCCGCCCAAAATATTGATGTTTAAAAAATAAAATTTTCTTAAAATTTAAAAATATGGAAAAGGAAAATGTAATTTGTAAAAAAAATAATAATAAAAAAAAAAAAAAAATTGACCCGGGAAACCCAACCGACCCACCCAAAATATTGATGTTTTAAAAATAAATTTTTCTTAAAAACTTTAATGTTTACAAACATGGAAAAGGAAAATGTAATTTGCATATTTGAAAAAATAAAAAAATTGACCTGTGAAACCTGACCAACCCGCCCAAAATATTGATGTTTTAAAAATAAAATTTCTTAAAAACTTTAATGTTTACGAACATGGAAAAAGAAAATGTAATTTGAATATTTGAAAAAAAAAAAAAAAAAAGACTCGTGAAACCCGACCGACCCGCCCAAAATATTGATGTTTAAAAAATAAAATTTTGATGTTTACAAACTTGAAAAAGGAAAATGTAATTTGTATATTTGTTAAAAAAAAAAAAAAAAAAAAAAAAAGACCTGTGAAACCCGACCGAACACCTATAATATTGATGTTTTAAATATAAAAATTTTGATGTTTACAAACATAGAAAAGGAAAATATAATTTGCATATTTGAAAAAAAAGAATGACCCGTGAAACCTGACCGACACGCCCAAAATATTGATATTTCAAAAATAAAAAATTCTTAAAAATTTTGAGGTTTGCAAACATGGAAAAGGAAAATATAATTTGCATATTTGACAAAAAATAAAATAAAATAAAATTTGACCCGTGAAACCAGCCCAAAATATTCGGGCTGGCCCAACCCAACCCGATTTCGGGTTGAGGTTAGGTTGGGACTGGGCTGGGTTGGGCAGCCCAACTTGCAACCCTAATCGTGAGTGAGTGAATTTTAGAGAGAGAAACAAGTTAAGTGTAATATATATAAATGTGTGTTGTGTGTTTATTATGTGCGGGGTGAAATATGGGTTGAATGTGGGTAACCATATTCAACCCATCTTGACCCTCAAATTAAGTGGTTAAAAATTACCCAACCCATTTTTGACCCATCTTAAATATGGTTCACCCAAAATCATTAAAAAGCGGACGGATATAGGTGGGTTGATAGTTTTAGAGAGAGAAACAAATTGAGTGTAATATATAATAGATGTGTGTTGTATGTCTATTATGTGCGGGATGAAATATGGGTTGAATGTGGGTAACCATATTCAAACCATCTTGACCCTCAAATTAAGTGGTTAAAAATTACACAACCCATTTTTGACCCATCTTAAATATGGTTCACCCAAAACCATTAAAAAGTAGGCGGATATAAGTGGGTTGATAGTTTCTGACCCATTTTGCCACCATTAATCATATCTTTTCACTCTTGGGTATATAAGTTTTGTTTATTTTTCAATCTAAAAACCATATAGACATATGTGTTGAGTGATTGAATTTCAACTAAAGAAGCCGGACTCTACAACTACTGATATCCATAGGCGAGAAGCGAAAGGTTGGGATTGAAACAAACAAGCGGTTGTAGTAAATAATTCGGGTCAAAACTCAATTTTGATTCGAAACTCAGTTTTTATTTCTTCTTTAAAAAGGAGAGCATAAGTATGGGATTATATTCTTAACCTTGGAAGGAAGAATAAGTATGGGATTATTTTTTCATCTAAGGAATTAATCTGTACAGTAGACAGTTTGGGTTGAAACAAGCACGTGAGTTGCGGTAAAAATAACTGAGTAACTTGGAACGGGTTGAAAAAGATTCTAAGTGAGGAAGTTGAGCATGGTGGGATTGGTGTGGATCAATGGGATCATGTAGGGTTAAATGGATGGGCTGAAGGATACCTGAAGATCTTCTAGAGTGCTTTAGTAAGGGATTGGATGAAACAGGTGTAGTAGTCAACTGCAACATGAACGAACATTGAAGATTTGATATCTTGCTAAGTCTGGAGGCTAGTCAGTGTCATAGTATTGATCTGGACTGGTTGTAATCACTTTCATTATAGTAGGTTCTTCTTAGCCTTGCAGAGGCTCCCGAGGTTTTTTGATCCCGAGTTTAGGGGTTTTTCCTCGTATATCAGACTTATCAGTCGTCTCTTATTGTTTTTTAACTTTACTTTATTTCTATTTTTATTCGCATCCATTTCTATTTTACTTATCAGTCGTCTCTTATTCTTTTTTAACTTTACTTTATTTCTATTTTTATTTGTGAATTGGGTATGCATGATTAGTCATTGATTTCACAAGTATTCTAAAGACGCAAATTGATAAGTAAATTGAGATCATATAAAAGCACTTTTAAAAGAAGAGTTTAAAAGAATTTAGTTTATTTATTTTAAAATTATCCATAGATATTCATAAGACCTATTCAACCCCTCCTCTAGGTCTAAATAGATTGAATGATCTTGCTGCGTTTAGTACTTAATAACACCTCCTCCTCTAGGTCTAAATAGATTGAATGATCTTGCTGCGTTATTGTACTGTCTCAGTCAAGTCCTCTTCAATTAATATCTCTCTCCGAGTTAATCCATAAAACGTAGTTTCACTTTTGTTAGTTGTAGGAATTTTCTTATAGCACCGGTATACATTTCAGCTGTACTTATTACTTGATTTTGTTGGGGGTTATGTGACTATTTTGGAATGTAAAGGAATGTTTTATAATAATAACCCTTTTATTTATTTTTTATTTTTAATGAGCATCACCAATTAGCAATTTTCTTTTAGCACTATTCTCCATAAAATTATTACACATTCTGATTGGGGTATCAAAAAAGAAACAATTACATGGTCCATAGTCTCGACCCATGACATGCAAGCAAAATATTTGTATTAGGTAAAAAATCATAATAAGCAAAATATATTTGAATCCATCTCTCTTTTTATTTATTTATTATTATTATCTTTTTAATGAGCAACACCAATCAACAATTTTCTCGTATTAAAAGGTAATGGTAGATAAACAAAAAAATTTAAATCTATATAGTCATTATATAAATGTTACAAAAATGTGAAATTTACCATAAATGCTTAATTAAAAGTGTAATTGGTACATTTGAATGATTGTTTAGGAATGAAATTATAAGATTAAAAAATTATAATCTTCAGTTATTCAACCTGTATGGATTTCATGGCGTTTGATTATAAAATTTTGCCCTATTCTTATTGTCTTCCTTTAACAAACAATTTTGCTTCTCAATATGTCCACATGAATGAACAAATGATTCATTTGAAAGCAAGAAAAGGTAAGAAATGGTTAACCAATTTGCAAACACAAAGGTTTGAGATATTAGAGAAAACCAAATAAAAAATTTTATTTTATTATGGAAAAATTCAGCGGCCATCTTTAGTGAAAAATTCACTGAAAATATCTCTGTACAAAAAAGTTGATGTTGATAGAGATACAAACATATGGTTAAATGAGTAATCCGGCAAAAACAAATTTCAAATGGGTAAAAAAATGGGATTTTAATCAAATCCCTTTTTATAATCCGTTGATCCGAAAAACACAAATATTGCTAAAACCAAAATCAACATTTGTTAATGTTCATTTATTCCTCGAATTTTGTAGACAAGAAACAAGAAATAAGTTTGGTAGCTCAATTCCTAAGATCAAAATGAGAGAATAAAAAGGGAGACACAAACTCGCAACAGAGTGAACAAGAAGCGTACAAGTTTCGAAATAAATTGGAAACATTACCAAACGACCACGTCAAATTATTACTTTTAAAAAATGTTACATGGCATACAAGTTCGGAAATAAATTGGAAACATTACCAAACCCCTACGTTTTTTTTTTTCTCTCTCCAAAGTCAAATTCTCTATTGAAGTATGTTCCATGTAAATGTCAAATGAATGTCCTTGGCATTAATTAAGGCACTGAATAGAATAACCTATTACCTTTGAACATTTCATTCCTTCTCCGTCGTCCCAAAGTGGCAGTTTAAACTACAAATACTTGAAAAAGACAATGGAAAGGGAGGGGCAGACCCAACAAAAGTTGAACCCATCTCTCGAATGACTCACAAAAACAACTTGATGCTATCAATCTTCTAATGACCACACAAATGATAGGCTCACTGAAACAACTTGCAGCAATATTACAGATAATTTAATCCCAAAAAAGTTGAAGCAAAGTAGCCCGAGTTAAAACACAGGCCTGCTGAAATATTGCTACTCCAAAACAATGAACTCCACACAAACAAGTAAAGGAACCCCTAATTAAGCTCCCACATGTTGAACCTCAGTCTCCAATGCCGAAAATATATTTTTTCTTGCAAGCTGACACAGTCGAAATGAAAATAAAATGAGCATCAGACTAAAATATTGGAGGGCGGGGGTCAGATCTCTTACTGATATTAACACACACAAAAAAAAAAAAAAAAAAAAAGAAGAAGAAGAATTTATAATTCATATTGACCATTCAATTCTCTAATTACGAACTATAAGTATATAAAGAGAGAAGCTGGGAGTTCGAAAATAAATAAACCAGTGCTTCCACCTTCACCACCTTAGAGTCTCTATACAGAACAAAAGAGAAAAATCCATTAGCGGCCAACAAAACAGGTCTAACATGGTGACTTATGCATATAGCTTTTAGGGTAAAATATATTTGACTTTCCGAATTGTCTGAATTAAATTTTTCCCCTTGGGATTTACATTGCGACACTCGCTGCTAATCTTTACATTGCTCCTATATTGATTCCCTTAAAGTATACTTGTTAAAGGAGACATGAACAGTGCATCTCTCTCAACGACACTTAATTCATATATTGACCATTTAACCCTTTAATGAACTAACTATTAATTGTTTACTCGAAGATAGATATAAAGAGAGAAGCTGGGAGTTCAAAAATAAATAAACTAGAATATGGCAACCATGGATAAAAGCGTTCAGGGACTCTGAAATAACTCCGTTCAAGACATCCCTCGATCTCAAAGCAAAGACCTTAGCTATTAGCCTATACATACACCCCACCAAACTAATAGGTTTAAAGTCCTTGACATCAGAAGCTCCAGCCTTCTTAGGGATAAAATAACCATTAAAAGACATCCCAAGCCACCTACGAGAATGGAAATCATGGAAGGTGCCCATCACTTATCCCCTAACCACACCCCAGCTCTCCAAAAGGAACCTCATAGTGATACCATGATTACCATCCGAACCCGAGATTTTATCACTGTCACAACTCTTTTAGGCTGTTCGACACTTCCTCTTCAAAAAAAAAAAAAACAAACAAACAAACAAAAAAGGAACCTCAAGCCCATCCTTATCCGTAGCTGAAATTGAATCAAAATGTAGACCGCCAAGTTGGGGTAATAAAAGGCAACCCCCTTGCATACCTCCTCCCCTACACAACTCCACCCCATCTACACGTATCCACCCAATGTGATTGCCCCTCCTTTGGGCGTCGGCAAGCTTGTGGAAGAACCTCGTGTTACGATCACCCTCATTGAGTCATAAGGCCAGAGATTTACGGTCACAAAATCTCCTCCTAAATAGCAGCAATATGAGCAATCTTGACAATGCGCTCTCCGATGCCTCTAAGCTTTCTCAATAACGACCATCCCTTGCAACATACTGATATATACAATCTCATAAAGGGCCATGTCCATCCTCCACTCCGGATTGCCAAACACCTCCTTATTCCACCTTTTAATCTCAACCTTCAAGTACCGAAGCTTCCCCACCAAAGCAAAACTCTACGTGCCAACCACCAAAGCCTCCTCCCACCAAGCCGGACTCTCCCTTGGAAATCCTCTGCTCTAAGCCACATATTCTCAAAAAATCTAAAAGGAGTGCTCCGAGATCTAAAACCGCCACAATCCAAAACCAACATAATATGACTGGTGGACAATCTAGCCAAAGCCTCCAGCACCACATCCGGGTACCTCTCCTCCCAGTCCCCATAAACCAAGAATATACCCAATGGAGAATATGGGAGACTCCCTGGCATTAAACTAAGTAAAAGTCGCAACCCCCCATCTGTCTGCAAATCAATAAGATAATGACAGTCAATAAACTCCAAAAACTACTCCAAAGCTGAAGAATATCTCCCTCCTGTAAATCTCTCCGTTGGGGATCTAACGACGTTGAAATCTCCACCCACCTACCACGGAAGGGACCACAACCCCCTCAATAAACCGAGCTCCTCCTAAAGCAAATTTCTCTCCCCATCATCCACCAGGCCATAAACTCCTAAGAAAGCCCATCTAAAGCCATCCTCCTCCACAACAAAGGCATAAGAAATAGAAAAGCTCCCTCTCCAACCAAACGTCCAACCCCAATACCCATCTCTTGTCCAAATGACGAGAACGCCCCAGGAAGTCCCCATCGCATAAACGCCTCACACTCAATGAACCCCCCCCACCCTAAGACTACAAACCACCCTATCCGAAATGGAAGCAAACTTCGTCTCTTGCAAACAAACCACGTGATACCCACACTTCCTCACCATCAACTTCACCACCTTCCTCTTATCCAGATCATTGAGACACGGATGTTCCAAGATATAATTCGAAACTTCGTAAGAAAATAATGGCATTCGTGTCCCCCATTTTCTCCCCCCACCCTAAGACTCCAAACCGCCCTATCCGAAATGGAAGCAAAGTTTGTCTCTTGCAAACAAACCACGTGATACCCACACTTACCCACACTTTGTCATCGTTACCCGCGTCGTCACGTGATGGAGCATCATCAATAGCATGCCACTTCGAATTCTCTACTCGCAACCACTTGCAACGATGACAAAGCTTGAATTAGGGGTGGCAATATTTGACATGACACACTAACACGACACGAGATAAGCGGGTTTGGGTTTGGGCTAATCGTGTTCGTGTCATAATCGTGTCGACACGGATTGACCCGCTAATTAAACGTGTCGTGTTCGTGTTTGACCCTATAAACACGATTAACCCAATTAACTAAACGTGTCAGATAAACGTGTCGTGTTCATGTCAAAAATGACCCATTTAGCAAAACGTGTAAAATAAATATATCGTATTCGTGTAAAAAATGACTTAAATGTGTCTTTTCATGTCATGTCAAGTCTTTACCCATTTATTAAACAGGTTATGCGTGTAGTGTCGTGTTACACGTATAATAATCGTGTCGTGTTCGTGTTAAGGGTCTTAGACACGATTAATAATCGTGTCGTGTTCGTGTCAACCCTAATAGTGTCCGTGTCGTAATCGTGTCGACACGAACACGACACGCCAACACAAATTGCCACCCCTAGCTTGAATCGAGAATGGGCTTTAGCTCAATTCTCATCCACAAACGCAGACTGGTATGAGTTAGCAAAAACGGAGCCCTAGGGGTGGCAAATTATGACACGACACGACACGACACGACAACCCGACATGAACACGACACGAGTTAAAAGGGTTTGGGTTTAGCATAAACGGGTTTGGGTCATAAAAGGGTCGACATGATTAACCCATTTATTTAACCGTGTCGGGTTAAGGTTGAGGGGTTCAACCCGTGTAACCCATTTATGACCCATTTAACTTAACATGTTATAATCGTGAATATAACTTATGTAATATGTTACCTGTTTAAAATTACTATGGATAGTTAAGTCATTTCAACATGAACCTTATCTATGCCTTATGATTTTTCTTTTTATTTTGAATATTTTGGTTAATTATGACAATTTTTTCTATTATTTAGTATTTGATTAAATATTAAATGTCTCGTTTTAATAAACAGGTCATTAAACGAGTTAACACAATTACCTGTTTAATAAATGGGTTGGGTTAGTGTTGAGATTCTTGACACGATTATTAAATGGGTTAGGTTTGGGTTTACCTATTTAGTATAATACCCTTACATCGACACGACACGACCCACGAACACGAATTACCCCTCCCCCCCCTACAAAGCCCTAAGAAAGTGATCCAGCTCTTCTTGCCCCATCCGTGCGACCCAACCCAATTTCAGGACTGTATCATTACATAAGGTTTGTAGTGGCCCAAATGTGTTGAAGCTGGTCCATCCAAAAAATGAGCACGAGCCCTTCAAGAAAATCCTAATTTCAATTCTTCTAATTATTCAAAAAGAAAACAAAATTCATAAATACATGCGTATATATACAGAGAGAAATAGATTGATGGGCCCAAATTTCGAATGATTCAACCTTGGTGTTTGTTATCTTTTGCAAATGCTACCAAATTTTTTTTTACAAAAAAAAAAAAAAAAAAAAAAAAAAAAATGAACTTAGAAAGAGAGGGATGATCCGTTTAGCAACTTTACACTTCTAGATGAATACCGTACATGCTCCAAAGCCTTTCTTTCGCAGGCTTCTTCTTCCCCATCCACTCTCGAATCCCTTTAACACATACAACAATATATATATCTTTTATATGTCTTCTCGCGGGTCGTTAAGGGAGTTTTCAATCACTAAACTAGATGCAACTTTATGTTCAAAATGGTTGATGGAGTTTCGATTATGCAAGCAAGGTTATATTTGTCACCACACATATTAAGTAACGGTAAATATGTATTACATTCCATTGAAGGGTAATTTTGGCATTACATAAAAATATGATCCAACGGAGCTAACGACCCACTAGCGGAACGGACCAAGTTATGACTTTTCCAAACCTCAAGGGAGATTGACCACAATTTTGACCCAACCTTAATCTGAAAAGTGAGTCCCTCAAAGGGTTTGAGGGTAATTTACCGTATACTTTAATATACATATAAACATAATACTACATATATACAAATATAAGGAAATATAAATATGTATATATATATATATCCTCCACTAGTGCCCACCACCACAACCAGTACCTCCCACTGCTACCGGTATCTCTTCTTTGTTTTCCCCTTTCTCCTTTTTTTTTTCTCTACCACCTACCACTACTACTATCGTTACCAGGCTATATAAATATATACCCACACATTATTGTAAACACAATATATATATATATATATATATATATATATATATATATATATATATATATATATATATATTGTGAATGGCAATGGCAAAATCCTCGCTTTCCAATTTCAACAATCCAATCCACTATTAGAGGCATCATTATCTTGCCACTACTGCTAGAAAAGGGGTAAATTGGAGTGAGTGATCGTCAAAGATGGTATCAGCTAACATTCTAAAAGGTGGTGAAGCTCTCCTCCTTTTTGCTTCAATCGCGATGGCGGCACTGGTGGTGGTCCTGGCAACCGTCATCCCTACTTTCCGCACTCTTGTTTCATTCCCACGTAAAGGATAACTAGAATGGTGGTGCAGAGAGAGAGAGAGAGAGAGAGGCGATGATAGGGTGAGCAATGGTTGTAGTACTAAATAGAAATGTGTATATATATATATATGTGTGTGTGTGTGTATATATATGTGTGTGTGTATGTATATATATATGTGTATGTATGTATGCCTCTGGGTGTGTAATGTAGTTAAAATGTTCATTTCATAAACTTAGTAGGGCCATTTACGTCATTTTACTTCATATAAGGGTATTTTTGGAACTTAAAATTTACCCCTTTGAATGACCTAGTTGATTGACGTGGGGTGGTTAGCATGATTTTGTAAAACCTCAACGGAGGTTGACCACAATCTTTCAACAAGTTTCTTCTGAAGAAAATTTCGAAAAACCTCTCTAGGGTATTTTACCCTAAATTCTTATATCCACAAGCCTTCAATCAGCCAAGACATAAAGTTTATAAAGGTAACACAGCATATAGTACTTGTAACCAAACAAAAATGGAACATATAGCAGGGTCAACCTAGTTGTGTTTACCTCTGGTAATCCTAAAGCCTTGAGATCATCATTAGTTATGTGTACCAAAGCGGCCATATCAATCTGCAGAAAGAGCACAAGGCCTCAAAAGAATGAAGGAATTCTTAAGGTAATGGTAAAACCAAAGCCAGTACATAAAATTGCAGTAAACAAAGGAAGGCTATAAAATTCACGCACTTCCTCATTTTCGAATATCATTAAATATTTGTCAAGACCCAGATGCTGCAGGAAACCATACACCGATTCAACCTGCACAAAATATGTACCACTTGTAAGTACGAAAACACACCACAGATTATGTATTTTCCTTTTATTTATATTTAATTTTTATAAAAAGTCTTTAGCTAAGATGGTGTAATGTAATTGCATAACACCCTAAAAAATTAGGACATAATTCTTTGTAAAAGTAGTAAAATGCAACTACGGAAGAAATATTTTGAAAAATGGAAAACAGCATGATTTGGGCAATTCTAGAAGCTGAGTCTGAGCAGACGACTCTTTTTCTAGCAGGTTGACTGACCTCAGGAACAGACACCGGCATTGGTACTGGACATGGTGAAATGAGATCCTCAGACAGAACCTTGGGACCTCCTGAAATAAAACCCTTTCCACTTTGAGTTCTGTGCTGAAAAATCCAACACTAGAGCTATGAAGTAAAATGTACCTACAACTATACAAGCCATGGACATTCAATCAATGTACTATGTACACCATTATATTATTATTTTGTTATTTATAATTACAACAGACATATATATATATAAGTCAAATAGAATCATAGCTGCAGCCTTTAGATGAATGCAACTATACATCAAACCATACTTGTCCAGAAATCAATCTTGGAAGCAACTTTACTCCCCCTGCAAAACAAATGACATTGAGTCAAATAAAATAAAATAAAAAATGACAGATGGCTTTGTGCCTCAACATATAATGGCACTACACCTTACATACTAAGGAAACAAAATGTAGAAAAAGGGAAGTGCATCTACGAAATTTTATTACTTAATGGTTCACAACCGTAGAACAGGCATAATTTACATACGTATTGCTCAATTCATACAGATCCTTATGACCCAAATATAAACGTCATGCTTATTAGAGTTCCAAAAGGAATACGTACGATATATAAAAAGAACACACCACCAGATAAACACCAATTGCTACGACAAATGCAGTGAACCCAGTGTTGTTAAGGCGCGCCTAGGCTCGAGGCTCAGGTTTAGAACCTGTTGTCATTCCAGGCTCACGGATGTTTACTAGGTGCACGCCTTGGTTGTGCCTCGTCCTGTTTGTCAGGCGCGCCTCACTGGTGTTTTTTAAAAAAACATATATGATTATTCTATTTCTTAAGCCAAAAAGGATACTTTGGCAACTTAATAAACAAATAAGAAAGCTCAAGCATACGAGAGAAGGAACTTTTGTTCAAAAGAATAAACAAATAAGAAAGCCCAAGAGTCAAAGTGTTAACTGAACAAAGAGAGTGAGACTATGAGATGAATGACGAAGCCCTAGTTGCAGATATGAATGACGAAGCCACGTCAGTTCTTTCTTCTTCTTCTCTCTCTTCTCCTCTACTTCTCTCTCCTCTTTTCTTATTTTTGTTTAATCTCTCTCTTCGTCTAGTTCTCTTCTCACTCTATCTTTTGTTTTTTTGTCTGTGTTTTTTCTTTTTTCTTTTTTGTTAACAGATTTATTTCTTTTTGTGCTCTATTTTGCCATTCAAAAAAAAAAAAAAAAAAATTGCTTTGCCTTTCAAGAAAACAAACTTGTGCTCTGTTTTATGGTTGTTAGATGCTTTTATAGTTGATGGATTTACTTTTTATATTTGATATGAATTTTTAGAATATTGATATGACTTGTGAGATATGAATGGTTTTATAGTAGTTTAAATTTTCAAATTGTGCGTCTCACTTCACTCAGGCGCACGCCTCGCCGTGAGCCTCGCGCCTAGGGTCCAAAGGACCTCTAGCACCTTGGTGCGCCTTGGGCCTTTAATAACACTGAGCGAACCAAGAACAAATCGCGAAAGAAAATTAAACAAGCCACCCATGGTGAAGATCTGATAGAAGATTTCAATATGCGAAAATCAGGAGATTACGAGTTTCAACCCCCAAATCCTATCTCTCGCCCTCACTCTCTTTCATGCTGTTTTCAGTGTCTCAATCCATCCAACTCAAAACCTTAAATGCCCTTATATACGGGGCTACGAGAATGTACACGACAAGAAGCAAAAAAATACAGGTCAAAAAATTTTACAAAGCACACTTTAGCCGAAACAAAAGTCGGGCCACAACATCACGGCAGCAATATTTGGGAATTTGCTACTAAAATTAAATTTCTTTGAATGAAAGATATCAATGGAAAAACATAGCCTAATAAAGATTCATGGGAGAAAGGGTATCACAGGTTTCCAGCTTCATTTCTTTCAATAATTCCTAAACTTTATTCGTGTTTTTATTTCATCTTCTTACCCCTTAACAACCATATATAAATATGCAAAGACATATAGAACATTGCCACTTTCCCTGTTTCTTATTTTGCATTACAAAAAAACATAAACTGAATGTAGGACATTTCCCTTGATAATTAGATAATATAAATTTAGGTTCCTCTCAACAAATCAATCAACTTAATAATTTTTGTCAGGGCTGGTAAATACAACAAACCAAAAACTCTCAATACACTATATTATAATGCTACGTTTGGTGTGCAGGAATGGAATGCAAGTGGGAAGGGAATGGAATGGGAATGGAATGGTCATTCTATTGTTTGGTTGTAAATATGAAATGCGTAAGAATGGAATGATAATAACCATTCTAGTGTTTGGTTGGACCAAATTAAAATTTAGAATGGAATAAATTTTTAATTGAATTCTCCAAAATATCCCTCTCAGTAACAAATAAATTAAATTAAATTAAATTAACAAAATGATATTCTTTAATAATTTTTTAAAAATAAATGGTGACAGTGGCGGTGGTAGATGGTGGAAAGCGGTAGAAGTGTCGGTGGTGGTGTTGGAAGGCGGCGGTGGTGACAATGGTGGAAATTGGTGGCAGCAGTGGTGGTAGAAGGTGGCAGTGATATTGGTGGAAGGCAGTGGCAGTAGTGTGGTGGTTGTGGTGGAAGGAGATAGTGGTATGGCGGTGGTGGTGGTGGAACGAAGTGGAAGTGGCGGTGGTAGTGGTAGTGGAAGGTGGTGACGGTGGTGGTGGTGGAAGGCGGCGGCAGTGGTGGTAGTGGTAGTGGTGGCGGTGGTAGTAGGCGGTGGTGGTGATGAAAGGTGGTGGCGGTGGTGGAAGGTGGTGGTGGTGGTGATGATCGAAGGTGGTAGAAGGCGATGGTGGTGGTGAAAGGCGATGGCGGTGGCGATGGTGGTGGTGAAAGGCAGCGGCAGTGGCGGTGGTGGTGTAGGGTTGTGGCGGTGGCGGTGGTGGAAGGTGGTGGTGGTAGTGAAAGGCAATAGCAATGGTGGTGGTGAAAGGTGGTGGCAGTGGTGAAAGGCGATGGCGGCGGTGGTGGTTACGGCAAACGGTGGCGGTAGAGGTGATGAAAGGCGGTGGCGGTGGTGGTGGTCGAAAGTGGTGGGCGATGGTGAAAGTCAGTGGTGGTAGAAGGCATTGGTAGTGGTGGTGGTGAAAGGCGGAGATGATTGTGGTGGAAAGTAATGGTGGTTTTTGGACTTGGAATATGAGGGTGTTTTGGGAAGTCGATTTTTTAAAATAAATTACTTGGGAATGGAATGGTCATTCCATAGGTTTAGTTGTAGAATGGATTTTCATTCTCAGGAATGGATTTTCATTCCAATGGAATGGCCATTCCCACTTTAAGTTGCATACCAAACAAAGGAATGGTTGGAATGGGCATTCCATTCCATTCCATTCCTACACACCAAACGTAGCCTAAGGGTTAAGTGTGCAACCAAAACTTGCCTTTGATATAATAAAGAATCAAATACACCCTTCCAACATTTAAAGCTCTTCATCATGGAAACTTACTCTTGTTCTAAAGCCTTATGGCACAAGAACTGTCTACATAAACCCATACATAAGGAAACCATGCTCATAATTACCTTACAAGAGAAACAACGTAGCAATATTTGAGTAATCAGCTTACCATGTTTAACACAAAATGAATGGTCAAACAAGAAGAATAAATCCCGTCAAGTGCACATTTTAACAAGGATAACGGATGCTTTTATTTTTATTTAGGGTTTATTTAATAAATGACAAGTTATTTTTACTATATTACAAATGCGACTGTATTAAAATAATATGTGACTGAAAAAGCTAATAATCAAAAATAATTACCAAAAAAGAAAAAATACTTTTTCGGTCCAAATTGGCCTCATCTACTTTTAAAATTTCCATCCACATCCTCTCTATACTCTCTCTCTCTACCCCTCCTTTCGACAATATGGAGACGAAGTGGTAGAGAACAGTGGCAGCAGCCTTTTAAAGTATTTGAAAGGCATGGCAAGGAGGGTTCTAAGTCTCAAACCTTAATTTGGCACATGCAAGATGATGCCAGTCCACTTGGAGTCTTGCATAATTAGAGGGTTTGGTCAAATTGCATAATTTTGGAAAATTGCATCGATTATGGTGAAATTGCATTGTTTTGGTAAATTGCATCAATTAAGTTATTTTTTACTTTATTATGCTAGAGTCGAATTTTGATCACCACAATTGTAGGGTAATCCAAGGGTCATCAGTTGTTATAAAAAGGATACTATGTAATTCTCATTACGGGGTCAATGAATGAATAAAAATATCTTGCTGGAAAATATGGCTTCAAACTTCTTCTCTTTCCAACTTTCTCTCTCTAAACATCTCTACTCGAACCCTAATTTGAAGTCTGCAATTCCGAAACTATTTTCATTTCTCTAATTCAAAACCCTAATTTTGTGAATCAATAGATGGGTTTACAGATGTAGATGACAAAGCTCTGTTTGGAGGTGATTTAAAATTGGTCTTCTTTCACTTTCTTCTGCAGCTATAATATATATATATAAGCACCTATATATATGGACGGTCGTGGTGGTGGTGGTTGGTTGGAGTGGTGACGGTGGCGGTGGCGGTGGCGGTGGGAGGTGGTGATGGTGAAGCATGGTGGTGCTTTCTTTTTCTTTCTCCTGCAATTACAATATCTATATATGTATGTGTGTGTGTGTGTACACGTGCTAGTTACTAGAATATGAACTTTGGTACGCACTCAAATCTCACTGGAGTTCCCAATTTTTATTTGTTTGATGCTCCAACAAGCTATCAAAGCTGTTGGTAGAGATCAGTGGCAGCAGGTAGAGAACAGTGGTGCCTTTTAAAGTGTGTAAAAGGGGTGGCAAGGATGATTGATTACCTCAATTATGGGGGATCCTAGAGTCAAATTTTGATTACCTCAATTATGGGGTAATCCAAGGGTTACTGCATTCACAGAATGTTATGGAAGGGAGAGAATGTAATCTTGGGAGGCAATCCGTGAATGAAAAAAAATGCCTTCGAACTTTTCTTTGTGAGTGATTCACAAGATATGAGGGTGTGATGCCTAGACCATGTTGGTGTGATTCTACTAGGTTTATGTTATTTTATTTCTCTCCTCCTTTTTTTTTTCTACATTTCTATTATTGAACCTCCAAATTTCAGGCTTTCAGCCCTACTTCTTTGAACTTTCAGCCTCTGAATTTGTTCTCAACTATTTTAAGGCTTCTCCCTGTCAATATCAGTTTTTGGTGTCAGAGTCTAAGTAGACATTATGTTTACTCGATCAGGCAATGAAAGATTAAATAATTATCAGAAGACTGAGTTGTTACAAATTCTGGAACAACTTAAGTGACTGAATACTAGATGCAGTGAGATAGGAGCTC